AGATCCTACCAAAGTTACACTCTAGGACATGTTAACACTGACCTGACAGCTGACAGCACGTTTTGGGCAACGTTCTTAAAGAATAAAAGTTAGCCAAGGCAATTACAATTTACTGCTATAATTTTTTTATTATAATTTAGCAGATAAGGACGATAAATGATAGAACTGCGCGTGGTGTTGCCAGCCGTATCATTCAAATCCTACTAAAGTAGGAAGCCTACGTAGCCTAGGAAATGGCTGACACTGACCTGACAGCACGTCTTATGGTAAAAACGATCTTAAAAGAGAAACGTTAACAAGAAAATGACAATTTGCTACTGGCAGATAAGGACGATAAATTATAGAACTGCGCGTAGTGTTGCCAGCTGTAACATCTAGATCCTACCAAATGTAAAAGCCTAGGACATGGTTGACGCTTGGTTGACACTCACCTGACAGCACGTCGTTCAGTCTAAGATCTTGAAAAATTACATTCACTAAGACAATGAAAATTTACTGCTGGCAGATAAGGACGATAAATTATAAAACTGTGCGTGGTGTTGCCAGCTCTAACATCCAAATCCTACTAAAGTGAAAAGCTCAAGAAATGGTTAACACGGACCTCACAGCACGTCCTTTGGTCAACGATCTTAGACAAGAAACGTTAACCAAGACAATGACAATTTGCTGGCAGATAAGGACGATATTTTATATAACTTCGCGTCGTGATGCCCGCTGTGAAATCTAAATCCTACCATTACCATTGCTAGAAACCTTATGATAAACAATTTAACCTTATGATTGTTTAGAAGTTCCTTCAACTCTGGCAGTAAGGTTCATAAGCTCACTAGTTCAAAGAAAACCCAAAAGTTGAAGAAGACTCGGAAACCTGTAACTTACAGGGTAGGTAGCGCAAAACTATCGTCTTTGCCACTCTTACAAGGCTGAATACAAATCATCTTGTTCAAATAGAAACTTTGTATAGGTAGGCATTTAAAAACTTCAAGTGTATGAGAAAAAACTACTAAAACAGTTGGATCTTAGCAAACATGGTCACACTGTATACAGAACCCTCAGCCCACTTCAGTTTCGAATGTACTCTACATGTCTCTGCCTTGTCTCAGAAATGGAATCGTGGGAAGAGGACAATAGGCTTGTCTTCCGTCTCTGTATTTTTTGTAGTTAGGAGACAATGTCGTCAAAATAACAACAGACAGAAGCTTTTTTGTAGGTGATGAAGGTACGGCCACTTTTTCTAAGACTGTTCTCGGGAACCTACACCTAAGGGGTCGAATTTTCTATAAGAAATACTCTTCATACTTACTAAATCAGCGTATTATCGACTTTGTAAGGAGATTCAAATTACTTTTTGGGATATTGATTGGGAAAGTCTTTCTCTGATATTTCAGTGTCCATCACAGTGTTGTATATTCGAACTGTATAAAAACCTATCCTTCGTATTCGACACATCCAAGACTTTCATTCAACAAGTTCCAGCTCCAGAGCGAACGTTCTGAATCCAAATTCACTTGGATTTCCCATCACATCAGCTCGCTACAATCCGAGCTCATCTCTGTAGAGGTGCCATAACACTCCAGCCAGTCGAGAAGCGAAATGTTCAAATTAAACGAACTTACTTTGATCCCAGACGAAGGGAAAAAGAAGATAGAGCGGTGCTAATGGAAGGACTGGATTGGAAAAGAACTTGACTTTGCAGGTTACGAAAAAAAAAGATTGTGAATAAAAATAGATGGTCAATAAATTCACCAGACAACTAACGTCAAGCAGTATTTCTTACTCGTTTTCAAAATTTACTCCTATTATTTTGGGCGTATTCAGGCGTGCGTTTGGTGCAAAGTTTCTCGTGTATAGAGTGTGTAGGTTCTTCATGCTTCTAGATTTGTCAGTTTGAGTCTTGATCCTTGACAGCTTTGTAATTAGCAACTGTAAAACCATTAATTGAGATTTTGGCTACAGTTAAATTAGAAGAATCTATCTAACTCAATTTTTAGGTCTGATCCTGCGATACGAGAGTTGCCACCTCAAGACGCCATGTACTTGGCAAATTCTAATTGAATCAACAAGCTGAGTTCCACGTTTCTGATTCTATGTTATAATATGTAAGGAGTTTAATTATTTTGCGTACAATTTATGTTAGTTGGTATTCACGTCTGTGAATGAATCGAAATTGATTTTCAGAACATTCAGAGAGAGGGTCAATGGTCTGTTATTACTGAACTTATTTACTTTGGTAAAGTTTATGTTTACTTAACTTTGCAATTATTCTTCTTCTTCGAGTGGCACATAAAGTCGTCCAACGACCCGATGAACCTTGGTGTCAGAGTTTTTCAACCTCCTACTGCAATGCAAGTAGCAGGCCTCTGTCAACTTTGCAATGGCTAAACTTAACGGCTTATTTCTAAAAAATAAATCACATAATATAAGTATTCAGATCAAGTTGAGACAGCAACTCGCTAAATTCGCCGCCTTATGACAGTTGTATGACAGTCCATCTCCCAATAGGTGGTAAACTCAAGAGAGAAAAGGAGCACCCTACAGTTTATTCGGTGGCACATACAGCGAGTCGCCATCTCAACTATAGCATTACTAATTTCTTTTTTATTAAATTGTTGCTTTCGCAGACCAACTATTCTACACTCTATATACTGCTTGTATAATGTAAAATCTGCCAATTACGACATTTATATTACTTTATCAATAAAATTAAATTGAACTTGTTGGAACTGGCTGTATCACATACCTAACTAAACTATTTGCCTCACGTAAAAGGTACATTTTATTGAGACTACACAGAAACAATTACTTTTATGTGTTTTCTATTACTGTATCAATAAATGCCGTTCTCATATTTTACTTTTAGTGTTATTACCAGGGATGTGAAAAATAATCGATTATTCGAATAATGTATCGAAAATAATTCGATTTCTAGAAACCGATTAAGCAATTTAAACTATTCAATTAATTAAAAAAATACCAAATTTTACTATTTCCCGAATAAAAATACGATTTTTTTGCGACACGCATTTTTTAAATCAAATACCTATCTTTTTTAAGGTCCCCATGTTATATTTTTTCCAGCGGTATGATGTTCATTTTACCATTGACAGTAATTAATTAGTGATAGATATTATTTCTTTAAACCAAGTAAAATATGTGAAAAATGGATTATTTTAAAAATCAATGTACCTACTCACTTTATTAAATTTATTTATTTTTAATGGATTTGTTTCTAATCGATCATTTAAAAGCGATTTTTTGTTACTACAGTCACATCCCTGGTTATTACCTTATTTTATAGAAGAAAATACTTATTCAATCGTACGACATTTAACTAGCTTTGCTGGGCTTGTATAAAATGGTAATAAAATTCATGTAGCCACTATAGAATAGTAGGAACTGAATAAAATGCTGAATAACATTATTCCAAGTGTTTCTTGGATGGTATTTCGAATTAGTGTTGCCAAACTATCGATAATATTGCTATCGATAATTTTCATTCGAAAATCCCTACACAATCGATAGGCAACACCATAACAGCCACAACAGTCTACTGCTGGACATGATGAGGCGATTTGGCGAGCGCAGTGCAATATGTCACTCTTACTACTGGTAACGCTCCTGCTCACTCATTCCCTGGATGATTATCCCATAGTCACTTTTTACGACACCCAAACATAATATTTAATTTTGAACCAGTCGACACGAAAGAAGAAGAAGACGACACCCACGGGTAGAATTCGGGTGATCCTATACTAAGCCGGCATCGCACGGCGGCACACACACAATTGATTGTATCAATAGTTCCAACTGTAGCAATTCTATCGAAAAGGTGCGATACTATCGATAGTATCGATTGTTTTTAAAGCTAAGCTTGTTAGAATTTTTTGGTAGCTGTTAAAAAATAAACTGGTACTTAGTAAAATCATCAATAGATGGCACTGACCCAATGTCGGCGACGCAGACAATCGATCCTATTAATAGTATTTTTTAAATCTTGAGATACGAATACCATAGTATAGCTGCATTTTCAACTACCGTTTTTTTATACTATCGATGTTCCACTTTATAGGAGCAACTCTATTTCAAATCAATGAATGGTCTGCTTTGGTTTTTAAATTTTATACGCCTTTGTGGTGGTGTGTTGATAAATGAACCACCTGTTTGGAACGGTTTTAATCTTCTGTAATACATTGAATTCAATGATGTGTTGTTTGTTTTGCTTTTTGTAGCCTAATGATAAAAGCGTACCAGCAAATACATTATAGGATCTAATGGGAAATTTAAGGCCGGTTTAGCTTAAGCTGGCTATGGTGTCACGTATTTCAACGATCTTGCAGCATGGAGGCAAAGAATAGCTACTGACGTCAGCTACGCTACGTTTTCTTTAAATCCAGCATCCAGCAATTAGTAAATTATTTAAAAAAGTAGGTAGATAACTCACTTCACATAGCCGAGATTTGTTCTGGTTGGTCCAGGCTGAGATCTGAAACAAGTGTAGAAGAAAATTATAAATACGCACAAAAACAAGTGAAAACTAAATACTTACTGAATTATATTTTTTTTTAAAACAAAAATGTATTGATATACAAAATGGAACAAATATCAGAGCTCATTCTTAGTATACTAAGTAAAGCAATATTTTCAAGATCAAAGTAACAGGAATCTCTGCATATCTTTTTCAATACACGGAAACTTCATGCTAAAAACGTACAAATATTACATACACTCCACCCCCACAATATCATCAACATACGCGACAGCAAATCTGACAAAACAGTCCGATGCTGAACGGCGAAAAAGTATTTCAATTTCCTTTTTTACCCGCCTTCGAAAAACGAAGTGGTTCGAACCGTAAAAATGTGGTATTCACAGGGATTGTTTTGACTCTATATTTACTCTGTAAAGAATGAAATTAATCGCGAACAAAATTAAAAATAAAATGAGATTTAAGTTGTTGTGTAACGAACATTACACTAGTACAATTTGCAGGCAACGATTGCGTCGCGGTAGCCTAGAAGGTAGAGGTGCGCTACTATTGATAGCGAAAGTCGCTACTTCAAATCCTGCCTGCGGTAGAAAATTTTATAACATAAAATGTTTTTCCTATTTAAATTACAGCTTGTTTAGACAAACACATCATGTTAATCATGTTATACAGTTACATTACACTCCGCCCCGGAAATATCATCAACATACGAACATCCACGCCAGCAAATCCGCCAAAACAGTCCGATGCTAAACTGCGAAAAAGTATTTCTATTTCCTTTTTTTCTGGCAATATTCCGCGTGATGAATAGGCCGGGAGCCGAAACCGTCGAGTCATTCTTTTATATTGCAAGCTTTATTTTGGTTCGCTGCTAATGAGTTCCGTGGTAATGGGTTAACGGGGTTCACACGGGTCACTCGGGCCAGTAAACGGGCAAGTAATTTCGAGCCAGCGCACTGGAAAATGTACGCTTGTTTTACAGTTTTTCAGCTGTTGAAAAGGCGTGTGGAAGTTTTCGGCTGAATAAATGGCATTGATACGTCGTATTGAAATCATTTTGATGGGTCACACGATTGGGTTTCTTAGTGTTATATTTTTATTTCACAAAACAGTATTAAAATAGAAAAGGCAGATTCAGGAATTTTCGATAACAGGGAAAAAATTCTAACCAAAATATTTTTTTGCGAAGTTCGTTCATTCGAAAATGTGAAGTTACTCGTGCGTAGCTTCTACTGTATCGAAACAAGAGTTTGTAAGAGGAAGTACTTATATTTTTATATTCGAATTTGTTAAGGATTAATGTTTGATTCGGTAAAAGCACAAAATGTTTTTAATTAAGAGGCTTTTTTATCGTTTAAATTGAATTACTTACATCAATGGTAGGAGCGCAATGAAGCATGTACACGCGGTAAGCTACCCTTACGAAGTGGAAGTAGCTTTTCTCTTTTTATTATGTACTGTTTTTTAGTCGCACGAAGCTGTGACTATGCTAATGTATATGCTTGCTCAGATAATGCCATAGTTTTACCTTTCAGTGACACCAATTAAGCATATGGGAGACTACTGCTGGACGTAGGCCACCCCCAGGGCACGCCTTAGGCACGATCTCCTGTTTTCGCTATCCACACACAATCAGCCTCGCTCTTTATGTCATCGGTCCATCAAGCCCCAATACTACGCTTACTATCGCTACATTTTCGCTATTCGCTTTATACAAATAAAATCGGATGTTTCAGCATTTTTGCTCGTACCTAATTGAAATCAGTACCTACAGTGGCTTTCTATCTACTCCCGAAGTAAATAACAGTCAATAGCTTTCCTGTCCACTGTCCTGGTCTAAACACACTTTCACCCCGGGTGTTCTGTTTCAAATTATGAAGTCGCCGTGCAAATTATGTAAAATAACGCTCGCATGATAACTGGCATGTCACGAGTTGCTAATGAATTTGAATGTGCAGGGTGAGGGTGCCGTTCAGACAATGCCAGTAATGAAGGGTTCCACTGAGATGAACTGGGTAATATGGCCTTGCGGTGCCGGTTTAGAATAGCATCAGTCTCTTTTATAATATCGACGGTTAAGTTTGATCTTACATTGTGTGTTCAATAAAATGTTTTTATTTATCTTATCTTATGTAAAATTGACGGTTTTCGAACTTAACCGTCGATATAGTTGTCGTAAGGCACTAGCAAGGGATGACTCCGTGGAGTCAAGTGTAGTGAAAGCATTCCTTTTGGTTGTAACCCCTTACTTTGCTCGTCGAACCGCCTGACTAGCGTGGTGGTAAGAATGTCAAATGCCCCTAATAGGCCCACGCCCTCCAGTCTGGGTGAGACTGAGTCTCCTGGGTCTAGGTCCAACAATGGACTGTTGTGGCTATTGATGATGATAATAAAGTCATTTTGAAGATAGTGCGGTAACAAAATTTTGTCGCGGCAGAAAAGTTAGCCAGGCTGGAGAATCCAAGACAGTCAAGTGGAAACGCACCCTTAGACGTTCCGACTAAAGGCTGAAGTTTCGCAACTAATTAAGAAGAGAAAGCTTTTGGTTATTTGTATGAATTAACATGTAGCGCAAATATCTACAACGCTTCAAGTTTCAACTGAAAGACCTCGTACGTACAAATGTTTATTTGGATGAACGTAGAGTGAAAATGTACTGAATTTCACGCTAATATGTTAAGTGTAAATATGAAATGAGGGGAAGATATCACTTATTTACTTCGAGACGAAGGACTTAAGAGATTGATAATTTCGAAACTACGGTCAAAACTGTTGTAGCTCAGTTGTTAGAGCGGTCTTGGATTCAAGTGAGTAAAAATGTGTACTAGTAAAAAATTACATGTATTTGATTTAACTAGTTCTGTACTCAGAAACGTTGGTCAGTAAAATGGAACATCACTCGAAAGCAATGTTGGACAATGGAGATATCACAAATTAGGGAAACAGCGCGCGGGGCGGGAGATATTCCCTTCAGAATCACACTAGTCTGCATTTCATAAACTCAAATTAAGGGTATACTTAACAATACACACATATACACATACTCAACAAGTAGATGTGTTAAAAACAAAAAACCCGACTGCGGTAATTTTAAAGTAGTATTTTGCTGTAAAAATCCACCATCTTAAATCTATAATTTTTTAATATAGCCAGTATCACTCGCGCTGCTAAGACAAATCTAACGACACCTCATATGTCAACATCCATCTATCCGTTTGGGCTGTAGCCCGTGAAAAAGACTTTTTTTGTCCACATACATACATACTCTCGAAAAACATAACCCTCCTTCTGAGGCAGTCGGGTAAAAACGCTACATACCTAAGTTTCAAGCTATTCCCATTGAAAGTCGGTCCCGTGATCCATTAATTACATCTAACCACATTTTCGCCTCCAGCTCTCGCGCTAACATTACTTATCTGTCCCTTGAGGTCGAAATTCCTAAATGCATCCAGAGTGCCTACAACTAGGCAAAGGGTAGTTTTGTACACTGTGCTCTAAAAAACATTTCACTCATAAAAAAGCGTCTGTTTTAAAATACCCATATTATTTCGACGTGAAGCGATGTAACTCTTTGCGGGGTAAGCCATTTACCCAACATCTGTAAAAAGTTTGTGAGACATTCAGAAGACTGTGTATGACCATAGTAACAGGTTGTCAGCCGGTCGTCTTATTCCCATTAACCCAAAATCTGTAAAAAGTTTGTGAGACATTCAGAAGACTGTGTATGACCATAGAAATGCGCGTGTGAAACCGCGGGGCGGAAACCTAGTAATCATATAGCGATGATCAACTAAACCATATTGCCCTATCAAATCAAAAGGCGACATTATGCGAAAACGATATTTTGCGAAAGTGACATTATGCGAAAGCGACATTTTGCGAAAGCGTCATTGTGCGAAAACGACATTCTGCGATGAGTATACGTTTTGCGAATCGTACATTATGCGTCTAAAGGCATAGTAGGTTATCAGGTTGTCAGCCTGTCGCCTAAAATAAAGGGGTATTGCCATATTCACCCCGCTTAGCAGGCAGATTGGCGAGCTCAGTGTAAAACGTTTTATTCACAAGGAACGCTGCTGCTCCCCGTTCACGGGATAATTAAGCCTTAGTCGCTTTTTACGACATTCTAGTCGCCATTCTAAGCTTAGCTAAAGGAATATACTTTGGAACGTAGTGGCATCATCCAAAGGGTATTCAGTCAGCGTGCCTACAACTTTACGAATACCTATTGTTTGACATTAAGGGCCGCACATTCTTGCGCGCTCCTGTATCAACTCCCTAAGCCCTTCAAAGTACAAGTATTTGGAACTTTGTCGCACCAAGTTTCCATACTGTAATTAGAGGAAAGGGTGGGAAGGGTTTAAAAAAGTTCGGGAGTGAAAAGCGCTTTCTTGACTACTTTCCGGTGACAGATTGTCGTTAAAAAGCAACTGTAATAAAAGTTTGCAACTTTTGAGGAAAGAAGGAAGATGGTGATTTAATGATAACTACAGGCTGTCAGTAACAAAACAAGGGAAGTGTTTCTAAAATTACCAGTTAAGAAGATGAAAAGAAAAATGAACTGAACGCAACTTAACAACTTTCCATAGAGGTAGAAGTATGATCCTCCCATGCAAAATGTTTCAAACGACCTATTCATTTAGTATGAAAAAAAAAAGTTATTCAGCTTCTAGCTATTCTTTTTATAATAGGCTACAATAGTCACCTGCGAGCGCATCAGCGACCACTTGATTAGGAGTAGAAGTGGTCACCATGGCCGAAACCGGCCAGAAAGATCATCCATCATCATCATTCTTTTTACAAAGGTTACACAGTTACAGATTTTTAACCCATTTTAAACTAGCGGTGACACATGACCCCCATTCACAATTTTGAACCCCATTTCGTTAATCAATATACAGCTAAGACCTTGTCGTTCCATTTTGTAAGAGTTTCTAATTGATTAGAAGGTCAAAGGTTTTTCTAAAGATACGAAACGAAGCTCTTGACTTATAACTATCCGAAAACTTATCGTACATTAATGCAACACATACAATTTTTTTTTTTTTGTGGGTAGGCAAGCAAGTAACAACAAAGAATTTGCTCCTATGTTTAATAAATGTAAATAAATAGTTAATACAAAAATAAATGTGCTATTAGCTTACCAAGTGCATTAGTTGGCCATCAACTTTCAATTTAAATATTTTTCACACAATATATCACAACAATATGGAGAACACAGCTGCACTCATACAGGGGATGAAGGACTTGGCGGATTTTGTAGACTCCAGGCTCAGTGAGTTCGAGAAGAGCCAGCAGCAACCACCACCTCCCGGTAAAGATACCATCAAGACTTTGTCTGCGGAGTACACTGCCTTCAAATCTTTAGTGTGGAAGACACTCGGGATGCTAAAGACACAGCTGCAGTTGATTGTCGACAGTCAAGACCGCTTGGAGACACACTCACGCAGGAAAGTTCTGCTTATTCATGGGATTCCGGAGGTTAAAGATGAGGACCTGCCACCAAAAATTCTCAGCCTGGTGCAAGAGCGAATGAAGTTGTCGTCATTGGATGCAGGATCTCTTGAAGCTTGTCATCGGCTGGGGGGA